GGTCTCTTACACCCTTTTGTCTTTTGCATTGTGTATTCTGTGGCTGACGAAACGGGAGAAATACAGACCAGCATATCTGCCACAAGGGCCATGGTCTGAGCCTCCCGAGAAATCTGACGACATCCATAGACGAGCCCCAGTTCAATATGATATTATAAAGAGGTGAAAGTGTATGGTATATGTACGTAAAAAAGGAATGATCAGCTTGTATTAGTAATAAAATGTCGAAATATGAACGAATTCAGACAATATGAGGGGCAGCTATAGACTTCCATTGCCGTGACTGCCTAGACTAAGGTGGGTATTAAGGGTGTGTCTAGAGTATGAAATCCAAAATATACTTGTCAAGGAAACTGTACCATGAATAGCTGGTATTCGAACTGTTAAATAAACCAGTATAAGCTTAACTTTTCCCAAGGGTTATTTTTGTCATCACATGTCGCCACCAACTGCTGAAGCTCAACTGGCTCACTTCATCTTCGCTCGCAAATGCCTCCAGCCGGCCGGAAGTCCGTTGTGCCTAAAGCCTTTGGAAGTTTACAACAACACCCCGAAGTTGAAATGAATAAAACATTTTGGCTTTCTTTGGCGTTTTGCGCCGACTTTTCCAAGAAGTCATTGTCGAATTGTGGCCGAGTTCAGCAAATCCGTCATGTCAGACTGTCCACCAAACCTCGCTCAAACCTCATCGTCAGGCGACTTTGTTTTCGGGCCGTGTTGGCACAACACGATTATCTTGTCTTGAACATCAAAAGCGATTTTACTTTTGAATGAAAAGTTGGTTGGAAGAAATACGTTTTTCGACCGAAAAGGATTGTCTTGTAGTGAAGTAATGACTGTTAGAATGTGCCTAGCAGTCCTCGGCACGAAACGAGAAAGCATATTTTACGAAAACTTGTCAAATTTACTGAAGCTAATTAATGCATAAACCTAACTTTGCAGTCTCAATTAGGCATCTCATGCTTTGTAAATAGGGAGAAAATATGATGTAACCTTGGGCTTGGAAATGTACCAAATCTGCAGACCGATTCTGGAAATGCTCGAGAATACGATGGCGGATACCACCTTCCATAAGTTCAACTTGTCATTCCGACCATTTTGCGAAAATATGATCGAATCACTACGATCCCATAATTAGGTTGGCTACTTCGTATTCATACTGCCTGCTTGCAGATGGGAGAATTGAGAATGTAGATGTGGTCAAAACGACAGTTTAGGCATCTGGTGGTACGGATGTTGTCTGCATGCAGTGTCCATTTCTGCTGGGTGTGAAGGCTCTGATCGGACTTGAGGCTATTCCAGCCTCCTCCTCTTACTCACCAGTTCTTTCGATACCACTTCCTCCTCTTCAGGATAGTGTCTGCTTTGCCGTTTCCATAGACGACCTAATATTATGCTTTTGACGCAAAGATCCGTGGCCGGAATGACGCTGTATTTTGGCCCATTCTATTTCGTCAGTTTAGATTTTGCACCTCTAAACCCTTACAGACGGTTTTGCATTCAGATAATCTCTCCTCCCATAAACATTATCAAATGAAACCAGAATATTTTAAAATCATGCTTTAGATAGAAGGCACATAAAAGTAGTGAAAGAAGTCAAAATTGCGGAAATTTTTATTTTCTTTTTATACATTGTTCTGGTGCTCCACTTTCTCAATAGTTGGCCCACATTTTCGAGGGCTCATTAGAAGACAACATCAGAAATTGAGTCGAGCGGTCTATCGGCTCATCCAGTTATTTCCTATTAATCTATTTATGATTGTTGGAAAGTAATTATCTATCAAGTCGAGTGGATAATTATCTTGAAAAAGTATATTCCTCCATCCTCCGATTTTTCACAAATGGGTTGACCTCGCTGTCGCAAATTGGTCTTGTTGTCAGGGCGACTTAGAAGAACGCATCTAGTCCAAAGTCGTCTGCCATTCCCAACATCAGACAGTGGACTTGGTACATTCTCAAATGTTTCTCAGGCTTCTGTCATTGTACCAAGTCCACTGTCTGATGCTGGAAATCATGACAACTAGAATGGCAGACGACTTCGGACTAGGTGCGTTCTACTAAGTCGCCCTGACAACAAGACCAAGTTGCGGCAACAAGGTCAACCTACTCCTATACATCGAAAGGAGACTGCGACGATATCATAAGCCACACCATTTTGGTCTTAGAATCTTCCGAATTTTCAGTCAACGTATCACATAACCCGTATTTTAACCCGATATGCATGAATAAAGTAGGATACCAACATGCGGGGGCTTGTCAAGCAAAGGTATACTCAATTTGTTTTACTCTTTATTTTTGAGGACATGTAGAAATGGTTGAGTATCATCCTTTTCTAACTCAATACGGACTTTAGTAATCCCAACCAATCTTTCAATGATTTGCATGGCGTCTTCCAATCTATTTCTTTCATGCTACCAAACAGCAAACTAGTCGTTAATAGAAGAACTTGGCCAGCCTTAGTTACTGAAGGAGATTTAAGGAGTGATAGTTTACGTTTCCAAAAATGGCACGAGCAGGTCTCATTGAAATTAATTTAGACTTGCCTCCACAAAGATCATCTCCTCCAGGCCGGACTGAAGTTTCGAACTTTCCTTCATCAGCACTCATCAACACTCCAACGGGACTCGAAGCCTGGCCATGAGTATCGTGGCGAAGGTAGTGCTGCATTGGACAGCCAAGGGTGAGGGGTAAAAAGTGAATTTTGTGAAACTTTCGAAATCATCAGAGACTTACGGATTGTCAGAAAAGAAGCGATTTTTAATGGTCTACTCTGGAGAATATGTTGCGTAACGAGGAGACCATGAATCGGGAATAACTTACAATTTTAGATATGAAGAACAAGATGTTGTGGTCTCTGGTGTGGTCGCAGTCTCCTTTCGATGTTGTCGCTACTTGGTCTTGTTGTCGGGGAGACTTAGTAAAACG